GGCTCTGACCCAGCCACAAAAGGGAACTCACACTGGCCGCAACTAGGGAGCCGGGGGGGGGGGGGAGCTTTGCTTTTTGGCAGCAAGAGCTTCAGCAATTTAGACCAGGAGTCTCCTTGCAGGAGGAGACACAAGTGGGTATGCAACCGTGCATTATCTTCCCACCCCCACCTTACAAAGTAGCCAGGCTTCAAGGCAGGGGTGTCTGCAAGCTAGGGATGCCAACTCTGTTGAGAAATTCCTGAAGATTGGGGGGTGGGCCTGGGGAGGGAGGGACCTCATTGAGTTATCATGCCATAGCGTCCACCCTCCAAAGTTGCCATTTTCTCCCGGGGAACTGATCTCTCATCTGGAGGTCAGTTGTAATTCCGGGAGATCTCCAGGCCCCACTCGGAGGCTGGCAACCCTACTGCAAGCAGAGAGCTTGGCCCGGGGAGAGGCTTTTTGCAGCCAGCTGCCAACATCCCTCACCTCAGCTAGGGCTTTTACAGCCCCATGGGGTAACTTGACACGGGGCAGTGGCTGGGTCCAATGTTCCCGCTAAGCTGTGGAGCCCTCTGAGCAAAAATTCTACTTTGTGAGCTACTGACATTGAAGTTGTGAGCAGGTGATTTGCCTACTGCATGAATTAGTTTGCTCTGGAGCCATCCTTCCTGAGCTGTAGCAAAAAATGTGTGAGCTAGAGGCTACAATACTGTGAGCTAACTCACACTAACTCAGCTTAGAGGGAACACTGGTCGGGTCCGTAGCTAAGGTGGGGCATGCCGGAAAACTCCAGAGGAGTAGCTTTATAGCCTGTAAGATGAACCACACATCTATGAACCAGCATGGGGGAAATGGTAGAGTGTTGGACTAGGAACTATGAGACCCAGGTCTGAATCCCTTCTTTGCCATGGAAGCTTGCTGAGCAACCTTGGGCCAGTCACACATTCTCAGCTGCCCTAACCTACCTCCCCCTTCTCTTTTTACAGTTTGGTATAGTGGTTAAAAGGAGAATGATGGAAGCCTCTTTGGGTACCCATGGGGGGGGAGGTGGGATATAAAGAAGGAGAAGAGATTGGATTTATAGGAGTTTGTCAGCCGCTCTGAGACACCTTTGGGTAGTGAAGGGCGGGGTATAAATCCAATCTCTTCTTCTTCTTCTTCTTCTTGTAAAGATAAAATGGAGGACAGGAAAAAAAACGGTAAGCCACTTTGGGTCCCCACTGGGGGAAAAGGCAGGCTATAAATAAAGTAAATATACAATCATTTTGGCAGGTTCCATAGGCTAGAGCAGGAAGGGGGACTCTCGGCAGATTTATTTCATATGTTCATTCTCCACCTCTTTGCCACCTGCAAATGAGGCAGTTGCCAATCATAATTAAAACATAATTTAAAACAAAGAACATCAGATCAGATTTGAGTCCAATAGCATCTTAGAGACCAACAAGAGTTCCAGGGTAGAAGCTTTTGAGAGTCAAAGCTCGAAAACTCATACCCTGAAACTCTGGTTGGCCTCCCAAGATCCAACTGGACTCGAATCTAATAGTTATACTGCAGACCAACATGGCTGTCCTCTGAACCCAACTTCAAGCTAAAAGACGTGAATTAGAATGGACGACATTACTAAAACCAGTAATGACCAATAGAACACTGACGTGTGAGGGATGCAAAGGAAAGGGAATCGTCACCATGTGGGGTCAAAAAGGATACAAAATCCAAGCAGCGCAGCAGGTCTATGGCAGTTCAGTGCAAAGATTGACCATATAGAAAATAAGGACAGCAACAGTTCAGAACAGTAAATGGTGATGTTACCAATTTGTTCACACGTTGCTATTCTGATTTTAACACTTGGAGTGCGAAAGACTTTCACCTGAGTCCTAAAATAAACCAAGATGTGAATTTTGTCTCCATATCCACTTTAGTGACACTATTAATAACAAACAGGGCTTGTTCTGTTTTATAATGCATTAGAGCTTTTGGTCTGTCAAGGTCAGCTTGGTCTGCTCTGAATACCTGATGCTTTTCATCCGGAGGCTACAGGGATTGAACCTGCATGCAAAGCAGATGCTCTGCCACTGGGCAGCACCCCCCACCCCACCCTGGTCTTCCTCCAATATAAAATTATACCATCACCTCCAAACAGTGTCTTCCTATGTAGGCCAAAGAAATCAGTCTCTATGCAAAAGCAAATCTGACATCAAAAACTGGCAACATTCAAAACCCAGTGGTGAAATGTTTTGTCTCCCAGAACCCTCTTGTTGCTATCCTGACAATCCCCATAGTTTAACAAAAACCACTTACAGGGAGACATCTAATGGAATTGCTGGAGTAGAAATGTAGATAACCGGTAGTTTCCATTTGTTTAGGGCTTAATCAAGACCAGGATTTTCTCTCCCTCTACAAAGATGCTAAATTAGCATAGCAAAGCGTTCTCACCAGCTGTTATGGTTATGTATGCTCACTGTACTTATCTTGCATTGGAGCTTTGTACAGCTTTGTACAGAGATTTCTCATTTCAGAGCCTTTTGGCTGCAGCTTTTTTGGTAGTTTTCCCATCCCAGCCTCACTGTTGGGTTCAGAGGACACAAGGCACATATTGCCTGGGATTCATCTGCTAACCCTGCTTTAAATTGCAAAGGGGCAGTCAAGTAGCAAGGGGCCACAGTGGCTCAGAGGTTAAGACGCTGAGCTGCAGACCGGAAGGTCTGTAGTTTGGCAGTTCGAGACCCTAGTGCCGTGTGACGAAGTGAGCTCCTGTCTCTGGCCCCAGCTCCTGCCAACCTAGCAGTTTGAAAGCAAGAAACTGCAAGTAGATAAATAGGTACGGCTTCAGTGGGAAGGTAACAGCATTCTGCGTGCCTTGGCGTTTAGTCATGATGGCCACATGACGATGGAGAAGTCTTCTGACAGCGCTGGCTCTTTGGCTTGGAAATGGAGATGAGCACCGCCCACTAGAGTTGGATTCGACTGGTTTTTGAGCAAGGGAAACCTTTACTAGTCAAGTAGCAGACAAATAGAGAGGGTGGACCTGCAAACCGGTTGGAGACCTGCATTCTTAAAGGCCCACCCCACCACCCCAGGAGTCATGGTAACCCTTTGCTATTGGGAGAAATCCTCAGGAGGGGGTAAGTGTATGAAATAGGCACAGCCCTCATCCTCTGACACTTTGAGGGGTAGGAAGGGAGTTATTAATCCAACCCTCCTTTCCTGCAAAGGTAAGGGTCTTACTGCCTATCCTGCCCTTTGCTCGTTTAGGCATTTTGGAGGCCCGCCTTTTTTTTTTGCCGTCAAGTCACAGCTGACTTATGGTGACCGTGTGGGGTCTTCAAAGCAAGAAACATTCAGAGGTGGTTTGCTATTGCCTGCCTCGGCATCATGATCCTGGTATTCCTTGGTGGCCTCCCTTCCAAATACTGACCAGGGCTGATCCTGCTTGACTTTGGAGATTTTATGAGATCAGGCTAGCCTGGGCCATTCAGGTCAGGGTGGAGACCTGCTGCGCAGAAATACAGGCAGTGATAAATGAACTGAAAAGAGAATGAAGTTGTTGTTACATCTGCAATATTAATTGATGAGGGAGGCACCTTTTAAGTGCTGTGGAACATTGTGGTCACCGATTCTCAAAAATAAAAGCACATTGCAGGAAAAGGCACAAAAGAGAGACAACATTGGGTTTAAATACACCTAACTATTGTGTTTCTCCAGTCCCACGTCCTGTCCAGTGTGTGCTGGGAGTTTTTGTTGAAACTAAATTTCCAGGCATTCAGAGGGGCCTGTTCAAACTGGAACCACAACATATGTGGGGAGGGGACTTAAGCCTTCCCCACCCAACCAATCTGTATTTTCCCAATCTGAAACAGCCACAGGAATCTGTTACTTGCCTGTAAGGGAAACGTCTGTATAGCCCATAAATTACATGGACATTTTTGCAACAGGGCAATCAGCAGCTTTAATTTTCATAATGCTAAAATTGGAAAGGTATTCTGTCTAGAATTTATCAGGTGGTCTAAATAAAGATCTTCCAGAATTAATTTCAGGGACAAATGAGTCAGTGAAACGTTGTACTCTCTGACTTGGCTTGGTAATTTATTGTACTGCTTTACCTCCTTGTACAAACATTACACAACATCACCAAGGAAATGCAAATTTTATACCCATATGTCAGTATTATCTGCCAAATGCAAATTCTGTGAGGAAATGGTTATTATATACACTTTGATTAGTTGTTCAGTACCTTTTGGCCCACTAGAAGGGATGCTTTGATTTCTTAAAGGACATGTTAATAACCATCACACAATTACAGAGAAAACGCTTATAGCAGTCAAAATTATTACAGCAACTAAATGGCACTTATCAAAGATACCATCACTTAAAGGATAGCCTATTAAGATCTGGGGTGTGCAGAAATGGCAAAGTTGACAGAATATTCAGCTAAGAAATGGCAGCAGGTAGGAAGAGGAGGAATCAGAGACTTTTTTACTGTTTTGAAAATCTTTTATTGATCTGTCAAGAATGTTTTCTGTATCGATATATTTACAAATGTGAGTGCTATGCCTTTAACGAATAAAAAGGTATTCCTGGGCAAGAAGACATCCAGATGCCACTTGGAAAGTTCATAAAGGCATTATCACCGGAGAGTTTTCCTCCTGCCTATGCACAAGGCAGTTATACTGAGCTAAGACTAGTTTTCACAAATGTCATTGCCGTTTTTCTCCTGCTTTTGAACTAAGTTTGTTGTAATAAATATCATAAATTCTCTACTGGGTGAACAAAGACAAGCTGAAATGTCCCTCAGTGTTCCTTCTAAGCTGTCGACTGTTGTGAGCAAAAATTCTACTTTGTGAGCCAAAAAATCTGCTAGCATAAAAGTTGTGAGTGAGGCTATAAAGGAGAATCAATCCTGGGGCATCTGGGGCTTGCGGGGGGGGGGGGGGATTTTGAGGTAGACTCCTTTCAGCATAGCGGCTGGTGCCTCCCCCAACCCCCCCCCCCCCCAAGTTTCCAAAAGATTGGACCAGGGGGTCCAATTCTATGGTCCCCAGAAGAATGTGTCCCCATCCTTCATTGTTCCAATGGATGGGGGTAAAGGCACTTAAAGGAACTGTCCCTTTAAATGCCTGCCTTCTCCAAGCTGCACTGCTCCATGGTGAGTGAACCATGCCTTCAGAATTTACTTACTGTGGAGTCACGCGACTTGGAGTATGCAGGCATTTAAGGGGCAGTTCCTTTAAGTGCCTACCTTTTCCAATCCATGCACCTCCGCTTGCCTCCCCCCAACCTTGCCTCTAACCAATGGCGTTGGGAGACTACAAGAGGAGCGCCAGGCCACGTTGCTAACCCAAGGCTCCTGACCTCCCTCCCCATCCTTCAGCCCGGCTCCCCTCCTCACTTGCCACTAGCCCATGAGAGTCCATGGAGGAGCGCCAGGCCACATTACTGGCCCAAGGCTCCCCTCCACCTGGCCTCCATCCTTGCCCCTAGCTGACGGGAGGCCACAGAGGAGCACTGGGCTGTGTTGCCGGCCCAAGGCCATTGAGGTGAGAGGGCAACTCACCTGCTGCTCTGGTGCGTAGGGAGGCAGCCAGTGGGCTTTACAGCAGGAGAGGCTGCCATGTGCAGGCGCCCTTATAGGACCTACAGGCGCTGCGTGAGCAGGAGGGAGGGGCTGCCCCAGGATAAGAAGCACCGCCCTCCAGTGGTCCAGCCATACTCCTCGGACCCATCCCCCTGCGCTGAGGTAAACATCTCTGCACTGAGGGTGGGAAATCTGATCACTAGCACACCATAGCACAGCTTAGGGGGAACTCTGCTCCTGATATGTCTTACATCACGGCTTCAGTATAAAAGCCTTACTGGTTACTTGATTTATATGATGGCAAAAATGAAATGGGAACTTTACCCTCAAGACCAATAAGAAACAACATAGATGGGCAGCCATTTGTTGCCTATGAAGGTGGAGCTGCTTCTGTCTCTTTGTGGAGTCAGACCTCTGCAACATAACCCAGCGTGCAAGGCAGCTGCCCCACCCCCTCTAATGCCCGTACAGCTTGGGTTTGAGGAACTGCTGGCATAAGAACACAAGAAGATTAAGAAAAGTGGTCCTTCACACAGCAGCCAACCAGTTGCCCTGGAAGGCCAACCAACAGTGCACAGAGGACAAGGCCTTCTCTGATATTGCCTCTTAGCACCACACTTCAGAGGTTTACTGCCTCTGAATATGGAGGTTCCCTTTATTAACCCTGGCTAGTAGCTGCTGACAGACCTTGCATCTGTGTTAAGGAACACAGCTCCCCTGATCCTGTATCTCTTTACGCCCTCTCATCCCCCCCCTTTTCCCTATTTCATGAGCACCAAAATCCAAATTGAAGCCCAGGCAATAATCCTCATCTTCCCCCTCCCAACCCCCATCCCTGTGATCCAGTACCAGAAAAAGAGGCATTTTATACAATTAACAAGCCAACCGCTGCAGAGCTTTGCAGTTGCAGAGAAGCTGCAGAAAGAAATCCCCACCCCCTTAGGACTGGGCTCATTTGTTCCAGGTTGCCAGCAAGCAAACCAGCAGCCAGACTACTTTGGGGGAAGAAAAAGATCAATGCTGTGCATGTATAAGTAAATCCCACAAAGCGCAAGGGGGCTTATAATACCCTTCCAAGTGTCCCGAAGTCCACTGTGTGAGTCTCTTACAGAACTAATGAAGCCAAACGTGGTCCAGAGAGCAGACAACTCACAATCACTCGCTGGCTTCCCTCTCCGATGCCCTGGCCCTTCCCCACTCAGCCTGCAGGCTAGGCTCCCAGGGTGCGGCCTCCTCTGCCACTTCCCCTCGAGGGCTGCACCTGGAGCTTTATTTCCTCCCCCTTTTGTGACCAAGCTTCAGAGGGTGAGCGTCCTCTTCTTCGCTGGTCCTGCTCTCACTGTCTGCGGGGTGAGAGCGGCCCACCTTCCCTCTCTGCTCCGCACCCGGCCTGGGGGACTTCTTAGGAGACGCGGTCCTGAGCCGCTTCTTGCGGCCACGGCTGGAGAGGTGCTTCTTGCGCTGTCGCTTCTGCTCCGTTTCTTTCTGCCGCAGCTTCATCCGCTTCTCGAAGCTCTTGGTGGTGTTGCTGTTAACGTCAAACCAGTCCTGAGAGGAAGACGCACAAGACAGTGTTTTGTATGCAAGGGGGCACTGTCGAGCAGGCGCATTTGATTTGCTGCCATGCTTAATCAGCTGCCATTATCTACACAACTTGAGTGAAGCCCTTCCCTTGTGGAAGAGAGCACGTTCTTTGCAAACAGAAATGCCTATGTTCCATTCCTGGCAGCTCAATTAAAGAACCTCATGCCATGAAGGATGGGGGAAAACTTCTGTCTGCTGAGCCCCTGGAGAGCCCCGACAGTCATAACTGAGAACGTAACTGACTGATGGCCAGACTTCGTACTCGCATGCTCATCCCAAAGCTGGAGGGATATGTGAACAAGGGAAGGGGAGGGAGGTCCACCACCACCCCTCCACCGGCAGTGCCGCACATCTCTCACCTCAGCATGCACCGTGTTAATGTGGTATTTGACTCCGCTCTCAGACACAAACTCCTTCTCACACAGCAGACACTTGTACTTTCCAGCCACAAACTCCCCCTACAGTGGGAGGGGAGAAAAATAATTTTCGTAACAGCAGTGACCCTAAACTAAAGGAGGCAAGAGCCAGCTTTGGGTCACTCTGGATTGCCCCTCCAGTTAGGCCAGTAGCTCTGCCTATGGTGGGAGGTGAGGTCGTGTCTCTTTGGAGCTGGTTGGATACAGCTGGATGCCAAGGCAGAAGGCCCTGCCTTGGCCCAACACACAGCATGGCAGAACTGTACCCAAACTTAAAAAGGAAGAACTGGTACACATACCAGGGTGCAACTCCCCAGGTGGGACTTGAGTCCTGAGATGCTGCTGTAGACACATTCACAACCCTGCAGCAGAACAAGAAGAAGGCATAAGAGAAATCAGTTTTGAGGTCTGAGGCCAACGGATCCCTGGGCCAGTGGCTGCAAGTGAAGGAGGTTGCCATGTTGCCAGAAGCTGTAGGAAAGGCTGAAGACCTTAGTCCAGTGGCAGCAATAGTTGAAACTGGAGGCTACAGAGTTATTCTTTCAGAAGATTTAAACTGGAAATGGAAGCTGGAGAAGATCAGTCAGCAGCCTCCGCTTGGCGCTTTTGGGGCACTTCAGTCCTGACACCCTCCTCCCCTTACAATATGGGAGCAGGAAACTGACCGTTATGGCGTCACTGGAAGGGGAAGAGGTGGCCCAGGCCGTGGATTAAACATCCCAGCAAGCTGACCACATAAAGCTGATGGCTCCATTGTGTGCTGCTTAACCAAACATGGCCTTCCATGGTTACCTGGTTGGGGCAGTGAATCCGTCGGTACATCTTTATCTCTGATTTCCACTTGCAGAGAACCTCCTGGCTAACAGCAGGCAGCCCTGGCCGGGTGTACTTCAGCTGAAACAGGAGAAAGTTAATCCAGAACGCAGAACAAATGGCAGCAACTGGAAAGTCCTGGAGACACCTGTAAATGCCATATGACACAGGCAGTCCCCATCTAAAACTGTTACACTATCTCTAGAAAGAGCCTCCCTTCCACAGTTGCAATGATCTGTTGCTGCCACAGAAGCTCCAAACCCAGTCAGGAGGAACAATGATCATGGAGACACAGCAGAACCCAACAACCCTCCTCAGAATGCCAAGGATCTCAGTTGTGAATAATGAATGTATTTATTTACTTATTTGGTTCCGTTTGTATCCCACCCGCCCCACAAGCGAGCTCAGGGCGGGTTCAATCATAGAATTCACAACACAACAATATAACTGAAAACAACATCAGTATAAAAACCCAATACCTCAACTGATCTTAACAAGAAGCAATTGGTTCCCAGTTGGCCGTTCAGATTTGAGGTCACTGGAGAGGAGGCCAATCACCATGTGGGCGCCTGCTGCCCCAACTAAAAGGACTGGTGGAAGAGCTCTGTCTTACAGGCCCTGCGGAACTGTAATAGGTCCTGCAGGGCCCTGATCTCTAATGGGAACTCATTCTGTTAAGATTTCACTGTTAAGATTTCACAAAGGCAAAAAATGGACATACCCAAGCCTATGAAGGGCCATAAAAGCCAACTAGGAGACTGGATATGACTTTCCAACAAAAGCAACACGAGCTTGCACGCAAACTTCCCATTTTTTTTAGGAGATCCCAGACTCCTGAACACTTCTAGAACTCTCTCCTGGAAGTAAGTCCTATTTAAGAGACCCAGTACTACACTGGAGGTTAAGTTAAATCTTTGTCGGCAAACAGGGATTTGTGCTAGGTAAGAATACCTGCTGTTTTTACTGATGGAAGCTGCATAGTTATTTGCACACTGCTTGTTGGAGATTGTTAAACCTCACTCCGGAGACAATAGCCAAGAGAACTTCTAATCACTCTCCCCTCTGCTGGAAAAAATGTGGGGAAGTAGGATCATTCTCACATTGCTGGTGGCAATGTAAAGTCATTTCTAACTTTTGGAGCGACGTTTTACAGTTCATGCATCTAATAACAGGATACAACATCCCTTTCTCACCGGAATTAGTTTTTCTGGAGAACTGGCAAAATGTGAACATCCCAAAAATCAGAAGAGATCTCATACGCAGCCTTTTAGTTGCTGCAAAAAACCTAATTGCATCCAAATGGAAATCTCCTAATGCTCCAACTTGCAACAACTGGATTAATAAAATCTGGGACCACTACATTATGGAGAAGATCACTGACCGATTGCAACAATCTGAAATATATCCTAAACAGTCAAGTTTTAATGAGAAATGGCTCCCATTCTTGGAATATATCCTAAAAACAGAATGCCAACCATACAATCCAATCTATCTCACTTTTTTACACTCATAAAGCACACTATGTAAAAGCGATACCTCTATAGTTTAAACACCTCACTGACTAGTTGTGAATTCTTGCATCAACTCTTAGACACCACACAAACTAGTTAAAAGCGTACACTTTTCACGCTGAATCTAGTTTAAAGTTTGGTAAAAGGTATTTGTTGTTCTTATATATTGTAACAAATCTATAAGGGTACCATGTGGTTAGTGATTCGTTCTTGATGTATGTCATTATATATACCTATGTTTCTTTCTATATTGGCAAAAAACAATAAAAATATTTTAAAAAGAGATTGTTAAGACTAGCCCAACTGTCTTCTACTCTTAGGCAGAACACCAAACCTATACTCCAGATAAAAGAACACAGTTACAGAACAACAGTGAAGGTCAAAAAGCCAGGAAATGCCAGTCACTCTATTCTCGCACCTTCCGGTCATCAGGAACAAGATCCTGCAGGACTTTCCTCTTTGGCCATTCCTTGGCCAGCTCCTCATTGGCCAGCTCATGTAAGTAGTAGGCAGCCACCTTGGCAGATTTCCTTTGAACTCTGCCTCTGCTTTTTGGTTCGGTGTCAGCATCCTTCTGGTGAGTGGGCCTACCTTCTTCATGGAGAAAAGTCACCTGGCAAGAAGAACCAAGGGAAGGCCTCATGGTCACCATTCTGGCCCGCCTGTGCCATCCTAATCCTCCCCATAAGCCTGGCACGAGAAGCCACTGGCATCCGGAAGGGAGCAAGCCCTTGAACGGACACTGAAACGGGACAGCCCTGTCATTGGCAGCAGCTCTTTCAGGCCTCCCATGCCAAGCAAGCAGGGGACAGAAGCACTTTGCTCTGGTGGCACAGCTGGGCTTTGCACCATTCCCCCCCCTTCCCTATGTTTGCATGCTCCGAAATTTGCCAGTGGCAACAGTGTGCTCCCCACGCATGTGAGTGTCCTTTCCTCTCTTTCTTCTCCCACGCCAAGCAAGCAGGGGACAGAGAGGAAAGGACACTCACATGCATGCACGTTTCCTGGCCAATCCCCTCAGTCACTACAGCGACTCACCGGTCCGTGTTCGGACTTCAAGTGGTAAACAAGGCCAGCCTTTGATTTATAACCCTTGCTGCAATGGTGGCACTTCAGAGCCAGCTTCTCCAGCTCGGCGGCGGCCTTCCCACACTTCTGGGCATGGTAGAGGTATCCCATGATGCTGGTGAAGCTGCCCGTGCAGCCCTGGGAAGGCAGGCAGGCAAAAAGCACAAAGAACATCCGTTAAGAGATCTCTTGGTTTTCTGATGACAAAAACAGTCCTTGCAATTCTTGTGTGTCCGAAACTTATCAACAGTTGGAAATGCAAGGGGCCACTCTGCACTATGGAGGCACGTAGAGCACAGGTCTGGGAAGGAACCTCAGTCGTTGGAGCCGGATCCTCCTTCCTCTCTCCATCAAATAGAGAAAAGAAGTCTGCCACTGGCCAGAGTGATCCCAAGAGACAGTCCATGCCTTGTCACAGATGCACACTTCCACCCGCATAACCCTGAGCCACCAAGGGTATGCAAATGCAGGCCCAGGAGGCTCCCGCCGCTCACCTCTCTCGTGCACTTGAGCTTCCCCATTCGTTTCAGCACCTTCCGCAGGCGGTCTCTCTCGCTCTGCTCATCCAGCTGGCCTCCTGCCTTCATCAAGGGCTGCGTGCAAAGGAGGGAAGGGAAAGGGTGACCCCCCCCCCCGGGCCATCAGCTCCAGGGAACTGCTCCAGATTACCACACCACACTTGAAGGAGGACTTACTCAGGAGCTGACCTGGATAGCCCAGGCTAGCCCAATCTCATCCGATCGCGAAAGCTAAGCAGGGTCAGCCCTGGTCAGAACTTGGAAGGGAGACCACCAAAGAATACCAGGGTTACCACGTGGAGGCAGGCAACGGCAGATCACCTCTGAATATCTCCTGCCTCGAAAATGCCACCAGAGGTCACCATAAGTCAGATTTGACTTGATGGCCAAAGGGGGGGGGGAGAACAGAAACTTGGGGCATTTGTTATGACAATGGAGGACTGAAAGCTGGCAGTGAATTTATTTGGTTCACAGCACTGATTGGAAAACCGACAGGCCCTGAAACAATCTGCAGTGAAGCCTCCAGGGGGCACGGCAGTAATCAGCAGCCTTCTGCATTCCAATGCAGGGGATCAGGAGCCAAGGCAGCTGATGTCAGACCACAGGTTACTCAAAGGTCCCTAAGCAGAGGGAGGAGGCCTGTCCCATCTTGTGCTGTGACAATAAAGCAAGCCTATGAGAGATAACGGGTCAGCGGCTTTTCCAGCCTAGATGACCAAGGCTTTTTGTTTATGTATAGCATCTACCTTACCAGGCTATTATGGTCTGCCATGACGTGGTACTTCATTCCCGCAAGAGACCGCAGCTGCTTCCCACAGTGCTGACATGTGAAGACCTCCTGGGAATGACAGGACACATTAGCATGTGGCCCAACCTGCAGGAAGTGCTTGAATCAGTCCTTACTACTGGATTTTTCTCCCTGTCTGCAGGTCCTGTAGACCCCTAGGAAACTGGGTCTTTACTTTTCCAGTCTGTCTGTCTCACACATACACACATGGAAGAAACGTTTTAGAAACTGCCTTGTTTGTTCTTCAGTCCAATAGATAAGAAATTGTTTAGAAAGCACTATGTCCAAACTATGTCAAAATTCCAAGGAGAAAGCATGTGCTTTTCTGTACATGCTGTTTAAACACCCTGGCATGAACTATTTCCCTCTCCTAAAGGATGAGATAAGGAAACAATCCTATGGGGCTGTACAACCAGAGGTCATTTCGGGGGGGATCGCGGGGGATCGCAGTTCCCCCGGGTGAGGTACGGGGGGCGGGGCACATGACGAAGCCCCGCCCCCTGCTTCCGGCCACCCCGTTTCCGGCTCTCATTCAGCCAGGAGGAGGCAGGAGAAGAGAAAGGGTAAGTTGCTTCCTCCCGGCCTCTCCCCACCCCTGCCTGCCTGGGGCCACGGAGGGCCTTCGCGGGGCTTCCTTGCACTCCCGCCGGCCTTGCAGGTCCACCGCCGGGCCCCTCATGGGCTCGGCAGTGGAGCTGCAAGGCTGGCGGCGGCGGCCGGGACCGTTGGGGGTGGGGTGTGTAGCCTTATGACACACTTCCGGTGATGTCAGGGGGTGTGGCCTTATGACACACGTCCGGTGATGTCAGGGGGTGTGGCATATGCTAATGAGTTATGCTAATGAGTTCCCCTAGCTCTTTTTCTACAAAACGGCCCCTGTGTACAACTGCAAACTAAGCCTGCCCCAGCTGTAGAAGCTCAGCTCTCCTGCCACAGGTTAGGAGGAAGCTGGCTTCCCATGGACTCACCCGCTGACAGTTGGTCATGTGCTTCTTCAGTCCTTCGACTGTTTTCCTCACTACAGCTCTGCAGGTTGGGCAAGTGACACGGCCCTTATCCAGAATCTCCAAGTACCACCTCTCCTCTGGACTGCCTGCCAGAGAATGGGAGGATCCAGTTTTTCAGGGTACCCTGGAGTTGATCCATACAAACTCTCCTCTTTAAGAGAGGAACATGGGATTCTTCACATCACAGTCATGGGGTGGGGTATGGGTGTTCTGATAAGAAGCTTTAGTTGTGTACACGTGCTTTAACTACAGGGTTCTCTTTGTCAGCTACTACGACAGAAGGCTGGCTTGAGATGCAGTCCAGGTCTCCAGCTTCCTTCATGTACCAATAATAGCAATACTAATTCCCATTTCTATAGTGTATTCAGTATTCCAAATGCTTCACATGCTACTTTTGGACTTAGAACAGGCCAAATATTACAGAAAGAAGGCTGAGGCCAAGAGAACATAGCTTGCTTAAAGCCACCTCCAGAGTTCAAGGCAGAGGTGCAGGTTGAACCAGGAACCTCCTAGATCACAACTCATTCTCGTAGCCACTATGCTATGCTAGCTCCCCTAGTTACACACTCCAGCGAGAAGTAGACACTCTGGAGAAGGGCATGACAGTTTCTTCAGTGTCAATGAAGCCTGGAGAGCATCACCAAGGACCAAAGCTTGAGCTTACATGCACACCAAGGACCTTGTGCAGAAGCCGGTCTCCTATGCCTTACCTGCTGCATATGTTGGCGGGTCTTTTTTTACAGATCGGCTTTTGGACTTGAGATGAGGCCGCCTCTCCGCTTGCTCCTGTTTTCCTGGCACAGACAGAAGCAGCTGTGAGAGCCTGGCATGGCTACCAGGATCCTGTCTGTATGGAGGCCGAAGCCCCCCCCCCTTCTGCTACCAACCACAGGAAGAGACCAAAGCCCAGAGAAATGCAAAAGAATCCACCCCATGAGGGATTAACCCCACCAGAGAAATACAGTTTGCCCACTGTGAACACATGCACACACACGAACATGCATGAAGTTGCCTTATACCGAACTACGAGGAAAGTTGGGCTATATATATGTTTTATTAAATAAACCAATAAAACTAGGCCACTGATCTATGAAGGTCAGTACTGTCTACTTAGACTTGCAGCAGCTTTCTGGGGGCTTTCATTTCACCTGTCACCTGATCCTTAACTGGAGATACTGGGGAGTGAAACTGGGACCTTTTGCATGCCAAGCAGATTCTCCACCACTGGGCCATGATCCCTCCCCAACTAGGAAGCTCAGAGGACACAATACGAATAGATAAGTGCAGGCAGAAAATCGCTAGCATAGGCTCTCCTGTTCCTCTTCCCACAGAGAAGATGCTAGGAATGTATGGCAAATCAAGGAAGAAAATCCAAAAGTACTGTACTCACCAGACACTTTCTGCTTCTTCCTTGAGAGCTCCTCATATTCTTCATCACCATCTTGTTCCAGTCTGTGCTTTCCCTTGAGTACAGAGTTTCCAGCTGAACACAGAACACAAAGAGGGCAAGGTGGTCAAGAGTGCAGGAGGAAACACATGTGCTGAGACCAGCAGCATCTCTGCCCAATGGCAAGGCTGCTGGGCTCTTTTCTTCATGGGGTACATGGGAAGCAGGTAAATACCCAACGCCAGCCTACAACTCAGTTGGCAATGGGCCTTCCGCATACTACCAGTACAAACAGACACATGCACATAGAAGCAGCAAGCTTCCCCCCAAAAAAATGTACACATACCTCCAAATAGTAGCAACAGTTGAAGAATGGAAGACCCCTCAAGATAAATGTATTTCTTTAGGCAGCACATGTTTTTTAAGAATGTGACCCAGTCCAATGGAAAAACTTTCAGTATTTGCTTCCTTTGCCAGAGCTATTTTTTAAAAACCCCATGCTTCCTCAAAGTGACTCAGAGCAGCATGTGTGGCTTCCCCCTTTTCCATTTTATCTATACATCAAAACTACAAAGTAATCTAGACTGAGGTAAATTATCTGGCCCAAAATTATCTAAGTGATCTTCATGGCCATGACTGACTTGATAGAATAAGAACTGATCATAAACTTACAAAAGAAAATTATATTATCCAAGCACATTACTTCATATGTGGACCCATTAAGTCTTCCAGGTGACTGAACATCACAGGTCAAGAGAGAGTCAGAGAACTTATTTTGATGGACGTCATCTCAGTGAACATTTGGAAGCTCTTGTACACTTTACTAAAGGTCCCAAAGAACTGAAAACTGTCTGACATTCTAAACAAGAGAGATTACATAACACTTTAATTCTAATTGGATGCAGCCAAGCCCCATTGTTGAAATAAAAGAAGTATTTTTTCAACCTTAGAGCGCAGGGTAACAAAAAGCACTCCCCCACTACCTTTCTTCTCTGTAACTTTGTTGAGGGTGGGCTTTATTCCCCTCATCACCAGCCAGTAGGCTGGCCTGCGGATGGCTCCATTGCTTCCAGATTCTGGGTTTTCATTGCTCAGCCCTTTGGAGGAGGTTGACGAAGAATCATTTGAAGACTCCTCATATTTGTTTTCAGAACTCCGCAAACCCGTGCTGAACTCCTCTGGCTCCTTGGCCCTAAGAAGAGAAGATATTTACAAAACATTGTCCCTGCCCAAGCACGGCTTCTGGGCATCCCGGAACTCCCGACAGCCAGAATGGTAGTCTGGGGCTTGAGGCCTACTTCCTGACAAGTGGACAGGGAGACTTTTTTTCTTCCTGTCCACAATATTAGAACTCAGGGCACATGAACATAAGAGATGCCAATGTTGGATCAGGCCAAAGGCCCATCCAGTCCAACACTCTGTATCACACAGTGGCCAGAAATACCAGTGCCATCAGGAGGTCCACCAGTGGGGCCAGGACATTAGAAGCCATCCCACTGTTGACCCCCCCAAGCACCAAGATGACAGAGCATCACTTGCCCCAGAGTCCCTATCTATACCTTGTGGCTAATAGCCACTGATGGACCTCTGCTCCATATGCTTATCTAATTCCCTTTTGAAGCCATCCATGCTTGTAGCCGCCACCACTTCCTGTGGCAGTGAATTCCAAGTGTTAATCACTCTTTGGGTGAAGAAGGACTTCCTTTTATCCATTCTAACCCGACCGCTCAGCAATTTCATGGAGTGCCCACGAGTTCTTGTATTGTGAGAAAGGGAGAAAAGTACCTCTTTCTCTACCTGCTCTTTCCCATGCATAATCTTATAAACCTCAATCATGTCACCCCTCAGTCGTCGTTTCTCCAAGCTAAAGAGCCCTAAGCGCCTTAACCTTTCCTCATAGGGAAAGTGTTCCAACCCTTTTATCATTTGAGTTGCCCTTTTCTGCACTTTTTCCAAAGCTATAATATCCTTTTTAAGGTGTGGTGACCAGAACTGCACACAGTATTCCAGATGAGGTCGCACCATTGATTTATATAGGGGCATTATGATATTGGCTGATCTGTTTTCAATACCCTTCCTAATAATCCCCAGCATAGCATGATGAAGCAATGGGTAATCTATACAGTGTGGACAAATGGAACCCTTCTTTACTCAACAAGTAGTTAAAATGGAATTCACTGCCAGTGGAAACAGGGATGGCCACAAGCACAGATGTCTTGAAAAGGGGATTAGGCAGATTAATGGAAAAGAGATTCATCAGTAGCTACTAGCCACAGTGACTGAAGGCAACCTCTGAATACCAGCGCTAGGAGGCCACATGGGGCTTGTACACCTCTGTGTGAAGCAGGATGCTGGACTTGGTAGACCACCGGTCTGATTCAGCAGGGCTCAGGCACCCCAAAGTCCGCCCACCCTCTCCCCTTCCCACAGCGGCCAAGCAGTGCTGGCAACCAGAACCAGGGGGAAGAGGCTCCGAATAAAGCGTACCTTCTGGTCCCCGGCGCTCGCTTGCCTCTGTGTGGTCTGCAGCGGGACTCTGGTCCGGGACCCTAGCGCCGGGGGACAAACAGAAGGCGGAATGAGATACGCGGGGTGGGGGCAGATGCTCAGCCAGCCTCCTGCCGTCCCCTCGCTTTACTGGCATAGAGGCCGCGTCGCTCGCCTGCTCCAGGAGAGGGAGTTCCCCGTCCGCTCGGGGAGTTCCCACACCGGGGCATTCAGGGAAAGCCTCTCCTGCTCTCCGGGTGACAACCCCGCCCCGTTATTTCGGTTACCCCTCTCACCAAGCCACTGCCGCCCCCCTGGCCACGCATGCTTGACAGCGTCCTCCGATGATGTCATCATCACTAGAGTGAGCCAATACCTAGCCTTCCGGTCGAAACCGAAAGCGGCTATTGGCCTCCGTTCTCTCTGGCGCCGCTCTATCTATCTCTCGGCATCTCTATGGCGAAAAAAAGCCCATTCTCATCAAACCGGAAGTGCCCGTGAGGCTTCATGGAAATTACCATGAAGGCATTTCCTCTCTATGCTCCTGGGACGGAGGGAGCGTCCCCCTTCCAGGAAGCGAGTCAATAAACGGTGGCAAAATGGCTGCGGCGGGAGCGGGTGTTAGTTCGCCGGTGTGCATCCTGGTGTTGGGCATGGCCGGTTCCGGGAAGACGGGGCTCGTGCAGGTGATAAGGCGGATCTTCGCGCGCTTGGGAGAAAGGGGGAGCCATTGTTGTGTTCACCTCTTTTCTGTGGCGTTGGGCTGGGTGGAGGAGGGGGCCTTTCTAGCATGGGTCTATTTACGAATGACCAGCGAAGAAGCATAAATTTGCATGTCCATAGATGAACACTTAAGCATAGATTCGGGTCCAGTAGTATCTTAGAGATCAACAAGATTTTTTCGGTATGAGGTTTGGAGACTCAAAGCTCCCTTCGTTAGATATTTCCACATGATTGCTTTAACAGAAATGCAGCTCATCATAGTGCTCATTCTGTCTGCTGTCGCTGTATTGACTGTCTATGGGGAGCTTTTCGAAGCCTCCCCTGCTCTCCCTTCTTATGGCTCGTCATCTTTACGTCAACCCCAAACAGCCCAGTTAGCTTTAGCAACCCTTCTTCCGATTGCCAGTAACTCTGGCTATCCTGTGGCTGCTTGGGAATTTCGTCTCTGCAGCCACCATATCCGCAGTTTGCCTTCATAAACAATGATGCTTGAACAAGACTGCAAAGTATGGAGACACTATAGGCAGGAAAAATAGAAGAGC